GGTGACATAACTAGAAACTTTGTTATCGCAATTACAAGCAACAGCGTATCTCACCCCGAACCTGACCTCCCTCGAGCTCTGTTTTCATGGTAACGGTGGCCAATGGTTTCGAATGTTGCGTGCACAACAACACTTGGTGATAGTTTCATCATTAAGATGGTCCAAGCCATCTGCGAGAACTGCGGACGAGATTAAGAAAAACAATAACAATATGTCCCCCAACTTCTTTCGGGGTGACATAATTAAAAAAAAACATTATTTAGAAAACGACTCTTATGTTCAGCTCCATTAAATTGTACAAATGTCAAATGTAAAACATACATAATTGTATATCATGGATTGAGTTGGATTTTTTTTAAATTTAAAAAGCATTTAATAAAATTGAAACTTATTTAGTGCTTTAAGTGCTTCCTAAATCACACTTTAGTCGGAATTCCGTTGCTGAAATTATTTTTTTTATCAATACCGAAATTATTTATACAATGTATCATCACCGAAAACTTAATCACATCTGAAACAATGTGAAGCATTTTCAGAAGTCTTACTTTAGTTACCCACTTCTCACTGCTACAAGCTGAAAGGGGATTTGAGCTGAGCTGTTTCTAAAGATACATATTTACAGTCGATTTAAATTGGATTAAGACGGCTATATCTTTATCCCGAAAATTTGCATATCAGTTACTTCAGAATACTTAAAGCCCACAGTGGGAATATAACGCTGGCGTGACACGGCTCCAGATACATAGTTACTGTATTTATGGATGCATTAACGAAAATTTCGCCTGAAACCGCTTATTAGAGATTTGCTGTTTATATAATAATCGTATATGCCCCCTGAGGACTCTTGATTGGTGAATGAACATAAACATATAGTGCTCGTATCCTGATATACATGTATGTGGTTATATTTTTCTGTTTGATAATGTGCCCCCACCCCCATTTCCAAAAATATGTATTAGATGATTTGTGTAGAATTGGACATTGAGCTTCAAATAAAGTTATTTGGCCCGTCCCCTACTGTGTTCCTAGGGAATGGATGTCCACAATGAAGGGGGGTGCCTGTAGGCCTCAATCGGTATCTCACTTTGAATTTTCGGTAATATTAATGATATCTTGTATTCTTTCGAAATGAAAGAAAATAATTTTCGATAATAACTACCGACCAAATTTCAACGTTTTCGGTAATGCGATGCAGCCTCCTAAACTAGTATTTAAACAACTATAGCCTTCTTAACGAGATTAGTTCTAAAGAATCACGTGATTTTAACCATGTATTTGAATAAAAACCTTACATCCCCGAACAAGTAGTTCATTATACAAATATTTATACATCCAGTGACATTTTCTCCTTTATTATAAACCCGCACTTTCTAAAGAAAGTTCGGGTATATTGTTATTATCCTGGTCCGTCCGTCTGTCTCACTTTCTTATTCCTGTAGTTAAAACCAGTAACCAATTCATATTTTGGAACATGATAGGTGTTGTCCTGTAGATGTGCAATTTAGGGTTTCAGAGTTTTCATGAGTTGAAATTGACGTGTTTTCTTTTTTATTTTTTTTTATTATTATTATTACTTTTTTTTTTTTTTTTTTACAAAAACCTGTTTCATCTTACATTTTACGTAATAGCCATAATGTGTCCTGTAGAAGTGCAATAAGGTTTCAGTATTTTCATTCTCACCCAAGATCAAATGGGGTATAAAAAAAAGACTTCTTTATTTTCACAGAAACCTGGTTGCAAGAACTCATCATACATTTTACCCAGTAGCCAAATCGGAATTTTTCCATCAATACGTACGGATCGATAATACAATCTTTTGCATACTTTCACCCACTTTATATGAAAAGTATTTATACAAATATAATTAAAAACAATTAAAAAAAAATCTTTGTTTATTCTCACGGGAATAAAATTTCTGCATTGTTGCAACCTTACATTTCCGTATAAACAAAGATAGCATTTTATATTGATTAAATTTTAGCAAACTTAAATTCATTTTTGTCTAATTCGTACCTTAAAGAAAAGAAATCATGTTACTCCACCGAAATGTGAAAACTGATGAAATCGCAAAAGCAGAATTCACTGAGTGGCCAGGGTAAATGAATGAAGTAGGGTAAGTAACTTTTTAACACGTGTTTTGTAAAACGTTGAAGAAGCTGGGAGGCCCGTAGTTGACCAAGCATCGGTTTCAATAGTGAGAAGCAAAAAAAAAAAAAAAAAAAAAAAGAACCTCCTTAAGGACACACGATACCTTCCTCAATGATATATAATTTTTTCTAAGATTTTGTCACTGAAGCATTGCTACTTTAACATGTTTACTCACAAAAAATTGAGGTACCTTACCAGGCATTTGTGCAAGATACCAGAGGGTATAGCTTTTTTTTTTTATATAATCCTTTTGGGAAAAAAATTTAATTTACCAATATCAAATTTTTTGTTGTTTGGATTTTTTAAAGACGTTTAGAAACTGGTTTAGAAATCAGAAGGTAATTAAAATGTTGAATATTTTTCATACATTACGAAGATATACAAAACAGATATTTGAGGAACGTATCGACTGACCTTAACTGTCCAAATCACCAGTGCTCGACCTTACAGCAACCAGCAACAAAAAGTGGGGAGGGGAGGGGGGGACAACCAGCATCTAAATGAAAATTTATTAAAGCAAAATACTATACTCAAAAAATGTGCCCCCCCCCCCCCCCCGCGTTCTACGGGCCTTGTTAGATATGGAAATCATGCACAGGTCCAAATTTTCTCTTAGTTCTTAAAGCTGTACTTTTTGCATAATAACAAAACAAGCATGATATATTACTTTCTTACTGTGTAGCACTTTACGATTAATATGCTTTACAAAATAAAATTTTTTAAAAAATACTGCAAGTGAGCCTCGTTTTAAATAAAAGATAATCCGGCCGCGCTAATTTTTTAATTAAATCACGTGTACCATTACAAATAAGTCATAACTTATAAGCATATTTTAAAAGCATTATAATTTCTTGTCATATGATAAAAAGCTTTTTTTTTCTTTCAAAAAAACCCTTGCCGTCCAAATCCTCCCTCCATAATTGCTGGATACGTTGCTTAATGTGACCTTGTCATTATAAACTCAAATTTTAACATTACAATGTGCTTTTAATGTTATGTGTAGTCATTTAAAATTATTTGAACTTTATGTGGACGTTTATATAAGAAATGTATTAAAGTTTGAATACCGTAAAAGCAGAACTTTTAGCGAGGATTCAATTTTGGCATTATTAGCAATGGTTCTGAGATCGCTAAAATTGAATATCGCTAACAATTTATTCCGTATCGGTTGTTATAGCTATCTCTCTTGACATTTTAAAATCGCTAAAATTGCTTCTCGCTTAAAGTACTAGTATATACTACTTGGGGGGGGGGGGGATCCCTAAATTTGTGTCTTACTAAAATTTCCACTCCGGGTATTTATGATTGTATGACCTGCTACTCTTTATCCAGGCATTTTCATGATTCATGAATGCAGACTATGCGAATCACTATAATCTCAATACACCCCCTCCCCAAATAACATATCTATTTCTTAGTTTCTTCTAATTCAAGTGTTCTCTCTCTCTCTCTCTCTCTCTCTCTCTCTCTGGTAATGTACTGAACTATCGACTTGTATTTGAGATGTGTTTCTTTAGTGAAGACAAATTTTGTGCTGTATTACGTTTTTCTGCTATCTTCGGTTGACTTGCGGTTTATTGAAATTCAAAATCAGAAGTCAAATGGGGGCCACATCAGTTTGAACTCTGAATAGGTTGTTGGATTTATTTAAAGTTCGTGTTCTTTTATCCACAGAGTATCATTTATAGATCAATACTTAAGGAAGCTCAAAGACTTCCTCTTTTGGCCCGAGTCTCTTTGGCAATGATCCTACATATATATCGAAAAGGAATATGTAGCGAATATTTCAAACAACAGAAGTTGGTAGCTTCCGAAAATGAAGAAAACGCCACATGTAAATTAACTGATTACAAAAAAAACTACTAAACATTGTGCTTAAAGGACCGGGGATATATTTACATGATCATGATTGTCATAAACGAAACCCTTAGTATGATGACAAAATTTGAGTCTCAGAGTTTCAATGCCTACAATATATCCAAACGAGCAGAAGCTCAAAACTCCTCATATAACGATAATACACACAGTACATAACATTACTTGATAATATAATGAAAAAAGTAATGTAAATAATGGAAGATGCATATGAAGATTTCTTATAATATTAAAATTCACAGCATAGTACCACATGCAATGAAGAGAACATGAACAGTGTAAAATGCATGTCTAAACCTAATATAAGACAGCCCCAGAGATCCTTAATAAAATAATACAGATGTAGAGAAAAGCTTGTTTAGAGAAGTATAGTGTTTTAAAACATAATAATGTTATAACTACATGTAAAATAAATTTTATCGTCGTTTGGGATTTTGTTTTGTTCCTAATCATCATTAAGGACTTTGGAAACAATAATTCTAAATTTGTATTGAATATATCATTCCATCTACCATGAAACGTAATGAGTAGTACACTGAGGGCTCAGATATTCTATTATAATTAATATTAGCCATATGGCGACCTACAACAGATGAAAGGTAGTCGGCTTGAAAAATGAAATTTTGTCAATAAAAGTTCAGTTTAAAGAGCATCAAAATAATGGTAATATGATTTGTCTTTGAAAATAATTTGAAAATGATTTTGGTAAAATATGCCAATTTTTTAATTTAATTTTTTTTTCGGGGAAGTTGGTGGGGAAGGGGGGGGGGGGGGGCAGAACGTTCTGATAGCAGTAGCTTGAGAAAACGAAAAGGTTGTTTGAATATTCTTAAGCACGGAAATATGTGCAAGAATATCAATAAAATTTCCAAGATTCTATATCAAAATGAAAAAAAAATTAAGCCATAAAACTCAAAATATTTCCGCGAAATGATTTTACAAAATAAGTCCCTCTACAGATAAAAAAAAATACTCACCTTTACCTGTGGATTAGGAGAAGTCTCCGCAGTTTCCTTTCATGTCTTTCACCTATTGTTTAACAGCGTTCAGTTTCTTTCCATAAATATTACAACCAAGTTTACAGGAAGCAGCCTATCGATAAAGCGTCGCTTGACGATAGAGATGGATGGAGGCAAATATTTACAAGGTCGATTTTGAAGTTTGATAAATGTGCAGGCAAGCGCATGGACTACTGCGTGGCGCTCAACGCTAATGGAAATTATTGTCCGGTACAGTACTTATATGAAAGTCATAAACCAAAGAGTCATACAACACATTTATGGCTATATTTAAAGGCACTGTGTCTATAGAGTTCACAAACGTAAAATATCGACAATAACCGTATTCACTAAAAGGATGGAGATGACGAGAATTATATGCCACATTCATGATTTTCACATCTTTCCGCGGTTCAATTAACTGTTCGTATTGTGTCACCTTGCAAATATCATTTTCAGCCCACCTGAATGGATGTCCTAATGAGAGTATCTGTAAGGAATATACTCTGCAGTAAGTCGAGATCAATTATGTCGTCAACTGCTGAACAGAATCAGAATGTCGCAGACCTGCCTAACAGAACAAAATGTCGCAGATCTACCCAGGAGTTAATGGAAGGTGGATGCTACATGTTTGAGCAGTCAATCAATTGAATATTTTTATGGCGGTGTTTCTAAGACTACCAAGTATTGGCTGTCGGTCTTCATACTTCAGTACAGTATAGATTATAAATATGAATCTTGTTTCTCACTTGAGAGGACTTCAGCCAGAATCGCCTTATGAGATGACGTCATTGTTGTTCTGAGAGTTTCTTCCCTGGTAGGGTCAGATTTTTTTTTTTCTTCACCTGTATGACAATCACAATGACTTAATTCTCATGAATATGAAGAACTCTCATATATTCTCATAAATATACAAAATATACACTGTAGAGAAGAGGTAGAAAATTGTAATGTATAATATTAGATATTATACATATATATTATACATACATATTATCTTTACTTATAAATTAATAAATTTTGCCAATAAACTCTGAAACACCTGCACCATACTTCATACCTAATCCTCTTTTATTCCACTACGTATGAGATGATGTCCATAAACTATACTCAGATTTCATTCGCATACTAATTATCGTAAATTTAATTAAAAGTCTACTTTCATTTTCGATAAACAGCCGTGAAATAGCAAAAAAGAGGGTACGGTGGTGGTTATGGTTGGCGGATCTAAGTTACTGGCAATTTTTAATGAAACTGAGGACAAGCAATCGTTTAATTATTTGATAAAACGTCATTAATGATTTTTCGATGAAAACCTGATTTAAGTGATACAGAAGAAATAAATTATGATTACTGGAAAAAAAAAGAAAATGTGCAAATCGTTTTCTTAGTTTTACACATCTATATCTTGAACGTCAGATGGCATCGAACCCGACGTCAAAGAAAAACTGAGGCGATTAATAACACTGCATGAATATAAAAGTGTTTTTTGATGTAAATGGGCATGGAAATAATGGTAAAGCATTTGATTAAACTATAAGTTGTGAATATATTTATATATCGAAAGACTGTTATAGTAAGTTGTGCTAATAAATTTACCAGTAAAATGGGCATGCATATTCGCCCGTGAGAGCATCGTGGCAACGAACTCGAAGTACAAATTGTATCTTGGAAAAGAGAAAATGTCAATTAATGAACATGATGAAAAATTTTTATGGATGAATAAGCTTTTGAAAATTTATGCTTTAATCAATTTTTCTGCATACAGTTTGTATATTAAATATTAGGTCTATACATAATTTAAGGTGTGAAAATCTAATTTTTAACCCCATCCCTCCACCCCCAAAAAATGTGCTGACAAATTCACAAAAATGTGCATATTCACTTCTTTTATCCTTGATGGAAATGGAAACAGAGCACACTCGAAGTACAATACATATAACATAATACATCAAAATGAAGTTGCTAACATGTAAAGAGAAAATGTCAATTAATTAGTAAAATTGAGATTTTAAAGTTTAAAAAAAAATAGACGAGGAGGGGTTGTATCTACTTCTGCTCCTAAACCAACTGCAGGATTTTGAACAAAGTATTTCTTAATTGCTGCTATAAGCCTGTTATATGCCTGTACTTAATTGTCAGTATAAACTATGATACATTACTGGATTTTTTTCGTTAACATTGGTAAAAATTCAATTCCCCGCGCGGGATTTCATGTAGTACATATTAAATAATATAAAAAGAAGAATACAATGTAAATAATATAAAGTACACAATCATGATAATTCAAATCAATAATGTCTAATTATGATTCTTTTGAAATTAATAAATATTTGCATATTTTCCCCAATATTTAATAGTTTATTGTTAAAAGTTTAAAAGAATTGTTTAATTTTATTTGGCCTGTTTTTGATATATATCTTAATATGGATAAACCATGTTAAAAATGATGAATTATAGCTCCTATATGAGAGTTTTGCTTATTTAGCAGATTTATTTAGCTGCTTTCCGTCATCAGTCTATTTTCTTATTTAGATTTATGTCAAAAGATAAAATAAATAAGATTTTGAAGAACGCACTCATTTTGATTAAATGTTATAGAATAAGGATTTATTTTCCAGTGGGGGGACGTACATTTATAAAAAATCTAGATCTGTTGAGATAAATCCAGCTCCGTTTAAAGAATTTCTCTAGCTTGTTGCCATAGTAATAGAAACAATTCCTTATCAAGTATACTAGTATACATATCAAATTTTTTGGACTTTTCTTTTTATTTTCAAAACAGTTTCATTAACAAAAGCTCTCTACAGTTAAAGGTACAGTCAAACCTCGTTATCTTAAACATGATTGGACCGAGAAATTTTTTCGAAATATCCGAGGATTTGAGATATCAAAGTTAAAATACTTCAGGACTTCCAAGGCATTTGGCTCATAATTTACTTTGTATTTATTGTCATGGAGAATAATACTTGTTTACAAGTGCATATTTTCCTTCCAAGTCAAAATTATGCGAAATTTAAATCCTCAGAATTCACAAAGGGGGTTACATTAATCGAAATGCAATTTGGCGACGTCGATAGCATAGCTACTTATTAAGCGAAACAATACGTGAGGATGAAAGAAATACAGTTGGATGTGAATAGAATTAAGCAGGTTTTAAGAGACACAAAGCGTGGTCGTCCGGCAAGTTTGATGTGATCTTTCGATAACAATTGTTTATAGTCGCCCGCGTGGCGCAGCGGTTAGAGCGTTTGCTCTGGAGTCGCGGAGTAAGGAGTTGATCCTTACGTCGCGGGTTCGATTCCCACTGTGGGACGTGGAGAACCGTCCTTCGGATGAGTCCGTATAAACCGATGTCCTGTGTCGCAGTAGGTGCTGGCACGAAAAAAAGATTCCTCACTGCTCAATGGCCCTGAGTGCCGAGTATAGGTCAACATTTGCAGCTCTCCACCGGCAAGTGGTGGCGTCTCCATATGAGTGAAAAATCCTCGAGAGGGATGTTAAACAATAAACAAACAAACAAACAGTTGTTTATCACAATTATTGTTCAACAACGTGCTCCAGTAATACATGCATCTTGACAATCATGTCGAAATTAGTGATAATCTTTTGTCCATCAGGAAGTGACATTTTGGTTTTGGCACGGTTGTCTGTCTGCCTGTCTGTCTAAATATCGTGTTTCAGACAGATAACTCATGGACAATTGATTGGAATGAATTCAAATTTTATTATTTTGTTAAATAAAATACTCTGAAGTTGATATCAAAAAGACGCTAAAATTCCTCATTGACAACATCTATGAAGTCTTTGGAGACCAGGTCTTCTAACAATCTGTTGGAATTTTGATGGACACTTATTGCGCTCCTTCATTAGCCGACCTATATTCTTATAAAGCAGATTCTACATAATGAAACTCTAGCTGTGGCTTTCAATTCAGCATTTCGATATTTCGACGAAAATTTTATCAATTAACAAGGGTTATTTTCATTGGATATATCCCAATGAACTCGAAATAAGAGTATGCCACATCTGCTTCATACATGGATATTTTACTGAAAAACCGGATGACCAACTTTTCCATCGTCAACTTTCCCTGTCTATGTAGTAATATGCCATAATCAGATACATATGGTTCCAATTGATGAGACACTCAAGAGCATGTTCTGAATACGATCAATTTTTAACCAAAAGCAGGCTACTAACACATAAGTTGATACTACTTAATTTTCAGCTATCTCGTTTAAAGTCAGCATATTGCATATTTCATGGCCGTTTGATTCCGTTGTGCACAAATACAACCTATCACTGAATCATATACTGACATGTTTCCCACATTGTTAGGCCATTGGTTTTATATCACTCTGCTTTTATACCACAATGTACACTCCGTGTACCTGATCAATACAGAGGGCTCAAAGCGAATGTGACCGGTCGAAAGGGGATGCTTACTCCTCCTCGGCACCTGATCCCACTATGGTGTTTCCAGGTGTCCGTGTTTTTGCCCTCTTCATGATTCAGATTCTTTACCTGGATTTATGAGATTGATTACTCGTTATCTTCACCGTTTACATCAGTGTCTCTAGGCAATGAGATACCTGAAGTGAAACTAGATGTGTCAGTTTTCAATATGTGAAAGTCCAAGGATGTGAAAATAACAATGGATGGACTGAAACAAGAACAAATATGATATTGATGCTTTTGTTTTCTTGAATCAGTTGTCAATACTAAGGCATGATTTAGTTGTGTGAAAATGGCAAAGAAACTGCAAAAGACTGTGTACAAATAAAAAAAAAACACAATCAATAACTCTTTATTATATTGCCACCGTTATATTCATTATTTTCTACGTTTCGATTCACCTTAGAGTCATCGATTCTGAGGCCCTCGTGACCATTTAGAGACATCAAACCCGACATGCTTCCAAACACAAATTTTGTAAGGCTTTTAATGCGTTACAACGCTGTTCATTCACAAATTTTAGAGTACGTTTAGTCTGCAGCATTTTTCATCAAAAAATGTTCAAAGTCTAGAGCAATTAATTTCGTGAAAATGAGTCAATCGACATGAAACTCGAACTTTATTTGTTTGTCATCAGTATAAGCACAGCAAAATAAGTATGAAGAAATGACGGAATGACTGAATGGGATAACACTAAATGCCCCGACCATTTCATGGCAGGGGAAGGAGCATAATGATGATTAACCATGTTTCCCACAGCTTTTGAACTTTTTAAAATTGCTATGAATTCAACATTCGAATATAAATGGTGTTTCTTATTACTCATTATTAGGTTCTGGGTTATGTAAACCTGACACATTTCAATAGAATATTCAAAGAACAAGGTTTACTAAGGACCTTTTTTATGGAACGCCAAATTAACATATATTCAAATATTTGAACCTATCTTCAAATAATTGTACCTATCTTC